TTTTCTGTATGTTTCTTCTTCTTCTTCTTCTCCTGCCACTTCTTTAAATTGATTCAACTCCTTAATTTTTGGGCGAAATTACCTGTAATTTCGTATAGAGGTAGAGTGGGTAAATACCCTTAGGCGTTTTTTAAATTTTTTTGATACAAGCTTTTACAATCGTTTTATTTGCTTTTTAGTGGTCCCCATAGGAAAGTACTGTGGGGGCGTACGCGCGTGACGTAATAAGAAAGGAATTCGGGGGAAGGCCCAAATATGGGCATACAAGCAGGTGTGGTCATGTTTGCAGATGTGGCTGTTGATTGGCTGTTGGCTAATTAATTTATTTACTACCATTTTCACGTACAATAGGGGGATTACCAGCGCGGCTGGTCAACGCGGTCTCGGCCGTGGGCCATCGGCTGGTCCACGCGGTCTCGGCCGTGGGCCATTACTATTTGATACTCTGATATTGGATACCAATTCGTGTGATTCCTATAAACATTTCACCTAACTACGAACTAGTTGGAAGAATTATAGCTGCATGGATGCCTGTATATGATTTTAACAAACACTGAAAATCTGACGCAAAAACTGGCAGATATTTTGCTCTTCTCTGTTGGAACAACGCAAGCGGGAGGTCAATGACCTGCGCCCCGCGAGTACTGTAAACAACGGTACGTAATGTGTATCGTCGGCGCACGCGCGCGCGCCACGGTATCAACAATTTTCCACAATCTTCACCGACTAGTATTATATATTCTGTTATCGATTTCTGAAGAATCACCAAAATTGTAGAGTGTACAGGCGTTCATTTGTTGAGAACATCGCAAGACGGCTTCCTGGCAAATTTTCCTAAAGCGAGCGTTGAGGGCTTGCATGCCCGACAGTTTTCAAAGATTGGACAGGGAGCCGGCGGCTTCTGCTAGCCGGATTGATAGTTACGTTACATCAAGGTACCGGTGGTTCAAAAGCGAACCTGATAAAGAAGGAAATCTCCTAGAAAGTCCCTAGAAAGTACTTGAAGCGATCGTTACCGCCATGTTGTTCACTTTATATGACATACAATGCAGAGAGTAATGGAAACGCGTCCAGATAGCTCGGTTGGTAACGCGCAGGGCTGCAAGTCCAGACATTGCGAGTTCGAACCCCGGTACACTGGATATTTTTAATTACCCTTTTTACAATTTTTAACAATTTTAACATTTTTAACAATTTCAACAATTTTAACCATATTAACCATTTTACATTTTAACAATTTCAACATTTAATTTTAACATTTTCGTTTTAATATCCATTGCTTTGCTTTTAACATTCCAAAACTGATTGTTCTTACTCAAGAATTTCAATAACTTCGAATGTTAGTCTTTTGTATTTTTTCAACATACAAACCAAAATCACTTTGATGTTGTCACAAAAGTAACATCTGTGCGCGCATCGGTTTTCGTTCATTTAAAAACTACAAGTACAAAACATCTGGAAACTAAGCAAACATACTCAGTAAATTGATTGCTGTAATTCCCGATTTTTTCACTGTACCGCAACGCAAG